TGGGGTGTGCAGGAGGCAGCCAATCAATGATTCTCTCTCATCATTGATGTTTCTCTCTCTTTCTCCCTCTCCCTTCCTCTCTGAAATGAAAAAATATATTTTAAAAAAATAATAATTTCAGTCATATTATCAGTCTCTTAGCTATGAGTGGCACAGTTAAACACCACGGGCAGACCAAATGTAGCCAGGGAATTCTTGTCTTACTCAGTCCTTATCTTGCTACGTGACTCTACAGGAACTGCTTCACTCGAGTTAACTCTTTTGGTTTCCTTCCCTGAATTGGGAAGTGAAGACATTTACTCAAATCCTGATAGACATAAAACACACTCTTCTCCCTACTCCCAGGGAACAAGGCTCCCCTTATTCCACCGAGCTGATGAATAGGGATCATTTACCGCTGCTCAGGCTGGATATTCTCAAAGGGCCTTATAATTGTCTTCAGTCTACTCAAGTACTCCCAAGACTCTTCCTCAGAACCTAATGGTACCTCAATTACCCATATCACTTTCTGAAATTTCCTTAGAATCAGGATAAGTCACTCCTGGTTTTCGCCACAGGACTCTAGAGTAACAGTTAACTATTGTATAAAGTCACAGCACAAAACCTTTTTAAGCCCCAGGAAAGGGGCGCTTCTTAGAGAATGAACGTTTGGTTTCTAGACTGAGTCTTACATCAGTGTGAATTCACTTCTCCTCATTAGCAATTTAGGACTTAATTAAATCACCGTACAACTTCTTTCTCTGCATATGCAAAACCCATTTTTCTGTTGATCTAATTGGCTTTCTTTAATCTGTCAATAAATTAGGGTTATCCTGTTCAGCCCTTGCTAGATGGATTAAAAATTTCACATTCTCTTATGTTAATTATTAAAATTTAGAGGTTTATTAAAAAGTGAGTAAAGACAAGTTTGCAAGTAAGTGAAAATAAAAAGGGTTGGTGGTGGTTATGGTTCCAAAACATCTTATCAGCATATTATTTATTTCTAGCTTCCAGAAGAAGAACCTGAGTTGGAAAATGTGTTTATTCTACACGCAGTGAAGAGCTCATCTACACTGTAGCACCTGTCAGAACGTCCTTCCTTTTTAAGGCTGAATAATACTCCATTGCATGGATACGTCATGTTTTGTTTACCATTTATCCATTGATGGACACTTGGATTGTATCCACCTCTTGGCAATTCAGAATGACTCTGCTATCAACATGGATGTGAAAACATCTCTTTGAGACTGTACTTAGTTTGGGAGGTGCTTGCATACAGCTCTTTCTCTTACAGAATTCAAAGCAGTTATTTTCAAATCAGTCTCCTTGAGTTCTGAGTGAACACAATGAATATGATGGAGTCCCTACCCAGCCCTGGCTGATGCTGGATATCTTACCTAACCTGGACACGAGGGGTTTCTAAGATTATCTCCACTTAATTTATGAGGAGGAAACTGAGACATAGAGAGAAACTCGTCCCAGATCACACATTAAGGAACCCACTGGAGCTCCTCAGATGAGATTGATGTGGCTTTCTTCCCTGCTGCAGAACTCCCCCAAAGCAAACCAGTGCCATGGTTTTCCTCCCTGGAGAAGTATTTCTCTATCTGGGAAGGAACATCCTAAAATTGCCTGCCCAACTAGACTCATTGCTGGGCATGTGGATAGCCCCGTGATCGGCAAACTCATTAGTCAACAGAGCCAATTATCAACAGTACAACGACTGAAATTTCTTTTGAGAGCCAAATTTTTTAAACTTAAACTATATAGGTACGTACATTGTTATTAACTTAATTAATTAGAGTACTCCTAAGCTGGCCTTTGCTAAAAACTCAAGGGGCCAATGAGCCGCATGTGGCTCACGAGCCGCAGTTTGCTGACCACTGGGATAGCAGAAGCAATATTCTCTGCTAAGTAAAGCAGCAAAGTGCTAACAGAACTTCTTTCATGTGTTCAAGGGCTTTCCCAAAGCTTTTTTCCATTTCAAAATGAGTCAGCGGATTCTAAACTCATTTTCCTCACTTGATCACTACAGAAATGTTGAGCTACTTACTGAAATGTGAATGATCTACTTACTGAGATTGGGATGGGGGACAAAAAGACACTGAATTCTTACTTAAATATGATTATGACTTGTCAGAAAATGACAAGTTTCTTTGATCGTTAATTATTCTGCAGCAACTACTGCTAAACGGCAACAAGAATATCCATTTAATTTTTTAATATCAAAAAACTTCAGAGGTATTTCTCAAGGAGAAAATTCCACAGGAAATAGCATTTTGATAGAAAGGGAGAAGGGAAAAAAAAATTCCCTAAGTTACCTTTTAGGGAAAATGTTTTATTTGTGGTAAACATAAAATAGTGATGAAATATGATATTCTCATGCAACACAGTCTCAGGATTTTCACTTGTAAAATAACATTCTTATAGTACTTTATCGGTGGAACTTGGTACAAAAAGGAACATAGGCAGTCCATCAACAAATTAAGCTAATTTTGCATTTGATTTTCTGAGGAGAAAAATAGTTAATCAATCTATTTCATTATAATTAGTGACTCACATTTTTAATACAAACTCCAATTTTTTTAAAAGCCTAGAAAGATCTAATAAGAGATTCAGCAAATGGATTCTGAGCAATGTCCTGAGAATGTGCATTTTTATTTTCTGCCCAGTTATGGGAACTAGCACCCACTGAAGAAATTTTCATTCACTCAATAAATATTTCTTAAGAACCCACTTTACCAGGCAGTGAGGATACACCCCTAAACAAGAGAGATATGGTCCATGCCCTCAGGGAGCTCACAGTTTAGCAGATGAGACAAATATGAAGTTTCAACAGAATGTTCAGACTGTACTAGTATTCTTATGAAACAAGTTATGGCATTAAACAACTGGTCCCAGCATTCCTAACAAAATGCAAGTTTGGGACAAATGTTGAGTTAATTGCAAGATAACTAAACAAGACAGAGTTCTATTTTATTTTTTTCTATTTGTACTTTAGTTAAAACACCTGATTGCAAATAAAATAACCCATATCAGCTTGTTTGGCTCAGTGGACTGAAGGGTCCCAGGTTAGATTCCAGTCAAGGGCACATGTCCAGGTTGCAGGCTCCATCCCAGTTGGGGGCAAGCAGGAAGCAGCTGATCAATGATTCTCTCTCATAATCGATGTTTCTCTCTCTCCCACTCCTTCCTCTATGAAATCAATAATAATATATTTAAAAATAAAAAGATAAATAGAAGTATTAAAAAAATAACAGATTATTCTTGTTCTAGCATTTATTTAAATTGAACTGTATATATCTTTAAAATCAAAATCTTAAATTTTGAGGTTTGTACCCTGATCATTATTTTTGTCACATTTATCTGGGTCATTCTATTAAATTAATTAGATATTCAAGTGTTGCTTTATGACAGACACCATTTGTGTTGTTTCTCATAAACTTGAATTAATTAATTAAGACTTTAAAATTTGCAGGTTTTTATTTTTACACATTTTTAAATTCAGTTTCACAAAATGTAATAATACCTAACCAGTATGGAATGCCTACTATGAGCTAAGTGGGTTTTTCCTTTTTTTTTTTTAATACTTCAAAAAATGTTTTTATTGATTCTTAGAGAGAGAGGAAGAGAGAGAAATAAAGAGAGGGAAACGTCAATGAGAGAGAGACATTGATTGGCTGTCTCCCCTACTGGGGATTGAGCCTAAAACACAGGTATGTGCCCAGACCAGGAATCAAATCGGAAACCTCTTGGCTCATGGGTTTATGCTCAACCACTGAGCCACACCAGCAGGGCTAAGTAGGGTTTCTTACATAATTACTTGTAAACCCAAAATCTTCCTCCTACAACCCTGTCAGTACTATCAGTTCTATTTTACAGATGGGAAAACTGAGGTGCTGAGAAACTAAGAGAGTTTAGTTAGTTTAGTTTCACCACACTGCTACTTAGTGAAAAGCCAGAATGCACTGTCTGATTATCTGGTTGGTTTAGTTTATTCTCTTAAGTATCCTACATTGAGCACAGAGTCTTCACCATCCAGGGCTAGGGCTACATGCAGTAGAATTACGCATTGGGCATTAGAATGCCGTTATAATAATGCAGTTAAAGCTTTCAAACAACCAGAGTCCAATAAAACACCTAGGGAGCAATAAAGCATCTGATTAACTAGTGAAATGAACTGTGAAATAACTTCTCAGGCAAATGACAAGTAAATGGAGGGTGTGTAACGATGAAGTTTGCTAAGATGAATAAACCAGAACAAGCAGTGAGACCAGGAACCTCCAAGCCTGGCTGTGTGAAACTCTCGGAAAAAGAGAGGAAAATATCTCACCCTGAGGGGGGCTGGCCTGAAAACGCATAAAGAAATGCTGGGTTGGGGGGAGCTGATGTTTTGTTTCGTTTCCTTCCGTCTTCAGTGGAGCAGGTGCTGCAGAAGCCCGACCCACCCTCTGCACCTTCCCACCTGCCCACGGAGGGTCAGTCCACATTTTGAGAGTCGAGGCTAGGATACAGGACCTAATAAAGCTCCATCACTACCACCTTCACTTTGCAAAAACCATCCGATAGCCCCAATAAAGCATGGCGAGCCTTACCAGGGAACAGCAATGTAAGTCTGAAAGTCTAAAATGAAATGTATATGGACCACACTGCTCTGCACTAACTTCCTACAAGCTCCTCTCTGCTGTTGGGATATCAGGGAACAACCCCAGCTGACAGCATCCGGGAAGCGTCCAGGGGCAAATGACAGATTGTCAGGGACGCTGAGAGCCAGCCCGAGGCTAAGTTTTGTAAGGTCTGCAGTGCTTTTAAGAGGCTGTCTTTTCCCTCACGTACAGCGGCTCCACTACACACAACATTTGCCCCCCCCCCAAAAAAAAAAAAACTGCTCGCTGGGCACTGGTTCGGTTGGGGACAGCATCCCCCTCCACGCAATGCCCTAACATGCATATGATTAATATTGGTATTCTGGAAAGAGAACTTCTGACCTTGAGCGTGCGCGGGGCTCGGGGATAAATTACCTCAGAACGAAAGTGGTGAGATCTCAAAACAGCATCTGGGGAGAAAAGAGAAAAAATGAGACTTCGTTGGACTTCACCTGCTGAATAACTGATGACTTACCTGGTTGGGGGGAAGGAGGGGGTTGAGGGTTGGGAAAGCACCTTCCCGACGCCACAAATTCGGTGGGGGCACCCTGCAGGGCGGGGAGGTTGGTTACTAGGCCATCCATCTCTGGCTGATTTCAACAAGATAAGTTTCAGGGAAAGTTCTGGGGCAGTTGCGGAGCCCGGAACTCTCCATAAGGAAAACGATGGATGGGTGAGGAGAGGCTGCCGCAACACGGGACTGCGCTCCAACGACCCTCTCAGGGGCTTGAGCAAACGGACACTAAAGAATTTGCGTCCATGCCTCTCCTCCCAGCACTCAGCATCGCTGTGCTTCTCCCAGCCCCGGAGCCTGGAGGAAGGGAGTGAGGGCCAAACATTAAATCCATAGGCGCCCTCAGCCTGGGGAGCGGGCAGGGATGGAGCTAAGAAGGGCAGCAGCGCCAGAGCGAGCGAGCCGCGCTCCCCTCTCCCAACGGGCAGAACCCACCCGGCGTGCGCCTCACCTCTGCTCCTGGGACGCCCCGAAAAGACCGATCTCATCGGATGCCTCCCCTTCTGGAGCTTGCGGTGCCAGCAGCAGAAGAAGACGATGGTGGCGATGGTGCCGAGCAGAAGCAACAAGAGGAAGAGGGCGCATTGGATGCTGTAGGGTCTCAGCAGGACCAGGAAAGCCGCGGCGATCATGGTGCGGGCAGGCGCGGCGGGGGCGGCGGGCGGCGGCACAGGCTCCCGCGGGGCGCACGCCGGGCGGCGGGCACGGGCGAGCGCGGCTCAGCGCGTCATGCCCGGCGCACGCGGCCCCGCGCCCGGCCCAATGGCTGCGCGCCCCGCGCCCAGCGAGCGGCCCGGGGCTGCGGGGGGCGCTGGCCGTGACTCAGCACACGAGCGGGCTGGGAACTGGCGGCGGCGGCGGAGCGCCTCTCTCCTCCCTCCTCCCCAGGCGCCCCCGCCCCCGGCCATGCGCAGCCCCCGGGGAGGAGCAGCGCTGCCGCCGCGGCCACCCGGGCCTCGTGAGCATCGTCTGGCGGCCGCCGCCGGCCCGGCATCCCCGAGCCCCGCGCACGTGGGTCGGGGCGGGGACGCTGCGCCGAGCTGCGGCCGCGGGGGGCGGGGAGGGGGCGCCGGGCGGGGGCCGCCGATGACATCACGGCCGGGCTGCGGCGGCGCGGGCGCGCGGACATGGCTGCGGCGGCGGCGGCGGCGGTGGCGGCCGCGGGCTGCGCTCGGGCCTGAGCGCCCAGCGCCCTCCTGCGGGGCCGCCCGCCAGGCCGCGCCTTCCGGGGGTGCACCGGCCCGGGCCTCTGTCCAGCCTCCCCTGTCCTGATTGCAGGGAGCCTGGCGTCAGGGGGCGCCCAGGAGCCAGGGGTGGGGGAAACCTCCAGGCGGTGCTACCCCCTCACCTCCCAGCTCCCCGCTCCCCGCCCCGATGGTGGGGCTTTGGAAGATGCTGCCGGGTGAGCTATTGCTTGCGGAAGGGAGGGTTCCTCGCACGCTCACGTGTGCACTCCGGGAAGGGCATTCCCTAGGGATTGGGGTCCTCCAAGGAGGGGAGGCCCACCTGTCTCCAACCCCTTCTAACTGGGAGCGCTCCGCCGGTTGAACGCCCCGATCCGCAGACGTGAACCGTTCCACCACCCAAACTTGGTGCCATATCCGCAACCGAGACACGGGCACGTTAGAGCCTCTTGGGATCCTTGCGTTTACCGTAAAATCTGCCTCATGCAATGCATTTGCAAGGGAGGGTCCATGTCAGATGTAGGGAACTGGCAGATGAAGGAAGTTGGGATTGGCTGGTAAATATATGGAGGAGAAATTTTTTAGGGAATGTGAGAGAAATGATGGATCTGTCACACAAAATGCACACATTGCCTCTTCATAACCTACAAAAGGTATATTGTATCTGGTGGCTGGGAGAGATTTTCCAGGGCTCGCTGATGCAGGGCCAGCGCAGGAGGGATGGCGGGTGTGCTGCACTGCACTGCGCCTCCCTGTGGACTGGCCACCGCACCTGGCCAGGCAGCCACCGCCGCTGCGGCGCGGTCTGCGGCATCTTGCAGCCTTGGCCCGGCGGCCAGTGCGGTACCCCGCGCGCCGTTTGCTGCTCCCAAGGCAGTGCTATATGGAGCTGGGTTTTGTTTGCTTTATTTACTTGCATAAGGAAACTGTGATGGTAATGGCAAGGTAACACATTAGTGCATTTACGGTGATTCTAGTAACTGCTAAGGTGGACTCTTAGGGATATTTAAGAGACTGAAGGAATTGTGTCATTTAAAAAAAAAAAGTAATTTGTAAAATTCTGAAAAGCCAAGAATGCATGGACATGCTTAGGATTTGCTATTTGCTTGAGAGATCTCAATATCGCTGTTTCCTAATGATACAAAAATCAATTGTACATCTCTGCATAAAAGTTTAACCATTGATGTTCTTTTCCATTTTAACGTATTACCATGTGTGAGCATTAAAGGAAACTCAAAAAGGCATTGCCTAATGCATTTCTTAAATGCTAGATTCATAAACATGGGAAACAATGGATGAAGGTGTTTTGTTTTTTACTTACATCTTATTTCCAAAAACAAAATGAGCCTTCAAGTTGTTGATCTGCTGCATCTCAGATTGGGGTGGCAGGACCTTGCTCGCAGAGGCTGTGTAAGGTGGGAATGTTGAATGTCAGAGTGTAGGTTGCACAAGTCCAGAGAGGCTTTCCTAGGCACCTGGGACTCCGGCTGACAGGTAGCACTGCATCATGTGCACTTTTCTTAAAGGTTTCTGGATACCGCAGCCCACTGCAGTGAGAGACTGCATTCCAGTCCATTGTGTAAGGGTTTTTGTTTTGTTTTTTTTAAGAGAATCCAAGAGCCTGCAATGCATGGCACAGCAGGAAAGGAAGAATCCTTTACTGTACGGACTCACAGTGGACTAGTAGAGTAATTTAAAACAACAAAGCTGAATTAACTTGCTGCAAACATTGGGAGTCACAACTAAGAATTTAGTCACAACTAAGAATTTACTTTACACGTCTCCATAACTCAGAATTTATGAGTGCTCTGAAATGGCCTTAGTAGCTTGGAAACATGTCTAAGACCACAAATACAGCACACTAACCAGTTGGCTCCAGACTCTGCACTTTTACAACAAAAAGCAACTAAATAGCAATTGCGGTTTTCTGAGCTATTACTTTAGCACAATTGTTATCATCCTGAGTCTTGCTGCAGCCATTTATAAATTTCACATGCACGCAAGAACATCATTTATCTCTTCTGGCAGGCAAATGCTTAACTGCCGTGCGGTAGGATTCTAGATATTTCTTTTTAGATGCATTCATTTCTGTTCTTTCCATTAGTTACCTCAAGGACCCTAATAATAAGCAAACAAAGTCATTGACACAATTTAGCATTTAGGTTCTATTGTTATTTTCTGATTTGTTTGTTGCTAATTTATCATTTCCTTCTCCCAATAATATCATGTTATTAATTGCTTCTTCCTGTGTGTTTCTGTGATGCCTAGTGCATTGTGGAATTCAATAAATATTAAATCAACTAATCAATCCTCTTTAGAAGTTAATTTAGTAGAATTCACACCTTTTCTTTCTGCTAGGTTTTCATTTTTAAAAATTGACATTTTATTGAAGTCACAAAAATTTAAAGTTTGGGGTACAAATGGAGGAGGAAGGCTTTTGACCAAATCTTTCATCCCAAGAAATGAAAATGGAAAAGTATATTTAATTTTTTGACTTTTTATGTTACTGAGTACTATCACCCAAGAGAAGACAATGAGTTGGGGAAAATAAGCGAGTTTCATACCAGGTGTGTAGAAGATGATCCATCATGCAGTTCTTCTTCCCTTTGGATTCTCAACCATTTAGAACACACACAGGGAGCCAAAAGGCATTTAAAATATTAACTTTGTTGAGGGTAAAGTCAGAGTGAAAAATATGGTTTAGACCCAAGGCCAAAGTGGAACATCTTACTCCTGCCCTGACTCAGCATGCCCCACCCCCTCAGTCATAGCTAAAGAACTGTAGTTGACCCTTTAATAACACAGGTTTGAACTGTGAGAGTCCACTAATACCTGAAATTAAAAAAATAATAAATACTGAAAATATGTTTTATCTTTCTTAGGATTTTCTTAATAGTATTTCCATTTCTTTAGCTTACTTTACTGTGAGAATATAGTATATAATACATATACAAAATATGAGTTAATAAGCTGTTTATGTTATTGGTAAGGCTTCTGCTCAACAGTAGGCTATTGGCAATTAAGTCTGGGGGAATTTGAAGTTATATAGATTTTTAATCATCAGTTCCCTTAACCCTCACGTGGTTCAAGGGTCAAATGTATAGTGCTTCCCAGCAGGAAAACAGGAACAGCCCTACCTGTACTCCTTACCTGAAGACCAGAGGCTGAGAAGAGCCTGACACTCTCCAGTCCACAAGGCATTCTGCATGAGTGAGCAAGAGATAGGACCATTAGTACCTAGCAGGCCTTCCCAAATTTTTCCTATCAAAGAGTCATTCACCTCCCAAAGATAAGAATAAGGGGCTTTAATAAGATGGCAGATAGATCTGCAGGACTTCCCTAGAAGTAGGAAATTGTGGCACAAATATCAAACTTACGGATCAGGAAGAAGAAAAGCTTCCACCCTAAGCTGTGTAATGACCAACTGAGAAAAGGAGTAGGGAGCAGGCAAATATGACAAGTTTTGAGCTAGGGCGGAAGAAGAGTTTTGAAGGGGAAGATGACAAACATAGTTTTAGACCCACTGAGGTGGAGGGTGTCAGAAGGAGAGCCACGTGAAATGATGCAGTTAGCTCATGTGGGTGGAGAGGTCAGAACCAGAGACAGGAGTCATCAACAGAAATTATAGTGAAGTCATGGAAATGGATGAATGACTAAGGAAGAGAAACTAGGAAGAAGTGGAATCAGACCTTTGGAGACTGCTGCTTCCATTTGTGGACTGGAGAAAGAAAGCAGAAGGCAAGACCATGGAAGCCAAGTTGCGGGGGGAGGGGGGGCAGCTATGGGGGGAGCTCCAATTTAGTGGCTAACTGGAACAGTGCACAAGTGGGAGGTTAAGGAGGGTGAGGACTGTGGACTGGTGACTAGGAGACCTCCGGAAACCTTCCAAAGAACTGACTCATTATAGTGGGAGAGGCTACAACCAGACTAATGGGTAGAAGAGGAGGAGGTAGGTGAAGAGAGGACAGCTGCTGTCCACAATCTTTGGAGAAATTTCACTCTAAAAGGATGAGTAGACATGCAATTAAAGCCTGGATAAAGGCTAATAAAGATCCCTTTGTCAGACAGGCGTTCCTGAGCAAGTTTCTAGGGGGATGGAAACAGCAGTGGGAGAGAAACAGACGTGAAGAGAAATTGAGAGAAAAGGGGAGAAGAGGGCATTCCCCTGGGCATTTGTGAGTTAGCTATTTGTTTTAATAAACCATGAGTCCCCCAGACTGGTTCTTTCTCCTCTAAGGCTCCTTTGGACTCTGCAGATTTAAAATTGACCCTGACTGCCGAAACCGGTTTGGCTCAGTGGATAGAGCATCGGCCTGGGGACTGAAGGGTCCCGGTTTGATTCCGGTTGGGGGCATGTACCTTGGTTGTGGGCACATCCCCAATGGGGGGTGTGCAGGAGGCAACTGGTCGATGTTTCTCTCTCATCAATGTTTCTAACTCTCTATCCC